GAAAGGCTTTCTGATTGAGTTTAGCAAGTGGAGTTCTCAGGACAGTGGGAAGAAAGATGAGTCCCTGATACATAATTGGACTCATGGCCTGGCTAATTCCATCTCACATGGATTGGATCCTTAGCCAGCTTGCTCCCTTCTTCACATCCTACACAGTGAGTGTAATAACTTATTCCTCCCTCTGGTGGTGCAGCACCTTGGTTTATTTGTGTATGATTTAAGAGCAGAGGGAGGGATCTGGCTGTTGGTCTACATGTTAATGATAACATCTTTCTATATTGGGCAAGTGGTCAGCAGAAGAGTGGGCTTCAGTGGTGCCATGTTTTTTGTGTGTGTTGAAATGCAGCAATCCCTGGTACCTGTTTTCTGAGGGTGAATAGGGACTGTTGGCCAACAGCAGCACTCCCAACATGCACACACATTACCAGACCTTCCTAAAAAGCTGCTCTGGTGCTGGTGGTGCATCCCTTACAGTCTACTTCACTCTTTTTTGGGGTGGCTTTCTCCAAATCCCCATCACTTGCAAGCCAGATGAACTCTGAGGAGGTTCTGCTCTGGTGAAGTTGTGATGAGACTTTCTTACACAGCAGCTCAGGCTTGCAACTGTGTGCCCTGCTGCCATGCAGCCCCTCTCTTCCTCCTCCTCCTTCTCCTCATGTCTCATTCTATAGCCACAGGTTACTGTGCAATGAGCTAGTGGCAGCCACAGCACTTAACTGCATGGAAAATAGCAGAAGGAAAGTATCAGGTGTATTTTTAGCTTATTTTCCTGCAATTCAGTAGTGGGAAGCGAAAAATATAAAACCCAAGTTGTTCCATGAGACTTGATGAAGTCTGGTTTCCTACAGACTTGTGTGTTATAGCCTCTAAATCCCTTCTCTCTCGTGTCCTCCCAGGCATCCTGTCTGCCTGCCTGCAGTAATCCCCACCTCTCCCCAGGGCTCCCACCTATCTGGCAGAGCAAGTGGCAATACACACTGGCCTTGGCCAAGAGGCCACCCTCTACAGCTGCTGACAGCCAGAGCACTAGACACAGCACTGTGCTGTAAGTGACTGTTAAGACATCCTTTGCAGCTCTCCTCTCTGCTCAGGCACTGACTTTTGCATCATTTGTAAGACATTAATATTTGTGATACCCTTAGTCCTCTGTCAAAAATCTGCCAGATGGCCCAGGAAGCTCTCAGGTGGTGGTTCACCACTTGGCAGCACCACCCTAACCACCTGAGATACAAAAAAAAAAAAACAAAACCACCAAAAACCAACCAACCAAAACAGGCTAAAAAGGAGCTTTTTTTTTGACTCTGCTCCCAAATTCCCAGAGGTTACAAATCAAGGACTGAGAGCCACCCCAGAACCTGAAGGTACCAGCAGGCCTCAGGACCTTCTTGTGTCCAGCAGAGCAGGCAGGTGAGGCGAGGCCCAGGACATGGCTCTGGCTGTGTGTACTGAGTGGTCTGGGACTTGGCTCACCCAGTGGGCAGACAGGCTAATGCTAAACTTGTGTGAAGATACACCCAAGTTCAAAGGCTGGGAGTGTTTTATCCACTACCAAAAGGGGACATCAGTGCAACCAAAACTATAAACAAACACTCCAGTTTGCCAGAGCCACAGATTACTAACAGCTCCATTTAATAGTCAGTTAAATTATCATCTGGAGTTTTACAGAGTGTTACAATGATTTTTTTTGTTGTTGCTGTTGTTTAAAACCTTTTTTTTTTTTTTAAGTAATCCAGAAGGGTTTTGTGTTTCTTGCCACATGGCTATCTCACCCTAAAGCACCCTACTTTCAATCTACAGTAGTAAAACGTCACATTAGAGTTTTAATAGAACATCAAGGAACATGAATTGTAGCCATCTTTGTAAAGAAAAGGACCAAACCATCTTTATATGTTAAATAACTCCACGACAAGTAAAGGGAGTAATGCTATTACAGGGGTACGGGTGCCGCAAAGAAAAGATAACAACCTAGAGGTTCTTCTCAGGTGACTTGTTGCTCATTAGTTCAGAAATAAATCAAGAAGAGAGGGCAGGGGGGGCAAGGGAGGTTGCAGAGTAGATGGAAAATAGTTCCTTCTCCAGATTTTGTGTGTGGCTGGCAGCATGGGAAGAACCAGGAGTCCAAGAGAGAACATACTGTGCAGACCCAGCAGTAGGACCCTGTGGCAGAGATGGATGGTGTCCGTTCTGCAGGGAAGGGCACAAACCAGGGCTCACCCATGGCTGTTTGGGGTGAGCCAGTCCCACATGACATATCTCACCAAAGCCAGGTCTGCAGCCACAGTGCAACCTCCTGCTCTGGTCTCGGCCCCCATGGCAGACATTTGCCTGAGATAGGCTGATGTGTTAAATTGACAGACTTTGGCAAGAAAATCCAAGTTTGGGCGAAATTCTGAGTTGCAAAGCCAGAGCAAGAAAACCAGGAAGGAAGCCTCCACAAAGGCAGGGCTGTTGTGAAATGGCCCCGCACAGGACCTGCCAGCACAGCGGGCACAGCTGAGCTGCGGTGGCCAACCGGGCAGAGCACAGCCCCACGAGCACATTGCATGGTCTGTCACGGGACGGGGATGCCAAGGCCTGCCCAAGTATGCAAGAGTGCTTCCAAAGGACCTTGGATGTGTGGCTCTCCCCTCACCCTCTACTGTGGCCCATCTCCCAGCACACGGGGAAGCTGGAGCTGAGGGAGCAGAGTCCGGCCCAGCTGGCCAATGAAGCTGCAGGGTTTGGGTTGACCACGCAAGAGCTTTGAAACAAGAGCACAGAAGAGAAATATCTACAGAGCTCCAGTGCAAATCTTGGGACGGATGAAAAAGTAACCTAGGCAGGTGTGAACCCATGAGGGGTCCAGGGTTTTCCTGGCAGTGCCGCAGCGAGTGGCTAGCAGACGGCACCACCTCCATCCCTGCTGCTGCACCTAGTAAGCAATAGAAGAGGAGGCTGCTGCCCAAAGGAGAACAGTCTGCGTTCCAGGGAAAGGCCACGTAAGCAGTATTACTTGGTGAGCAACCAACTCGCGCCTGGGCCAGAGCCACCTTCATTCAAGCACCCCCCCGAGGCGCTGAGCAGAGGTGCCCTTCGCCCATCCCTGGCTGGCTGCCCCGCTGGAAGCTAGGGGTTGTCTCGGCAGCTGCTGGGAGAAGGAATAGGCTAAACCAAAGTGCCTTGGCCAAGGCTGCCAGCGGCTGAAAGGAAAAGGAGCAGGGGCTCAGTATGGATCATCTACCCGTGGAGACGGGCCAGTCCTGCTCTGAGCCCCAAGCAGCATGGGACACCTCAAAATATAAGGAGACACTTGTAGAGAAAAAGACAAAAGGCTCCAGCAAACTTCCTTCTTGTGAAGAGCAAGTGTTTGCCTGACGACTTCAACTAGACACATTCATTACAGAAATGACACCGGGACAAGCATGCTCCTGACTGGTCCCAGCAGCTCCCCAGCCCAGGCCAGCTGCTCCTGCAGGAGAAAACTGCCTGTGAGAAGGGACAAACAAAGCATTCTGTGGTCCTGCAGGAAGATACCAAACTGCTGTTGAGCAAATACTGTATTGCAGTGCTGTGGGCTGTGACTGGCTGTGGACCATGGCCATCTCCCTCTGAGCACCATGCACACATTGGAGCCATGACCTTGGCAGGTAGGAGGACGATTGAGGCAGAAAATCCCAGGAGACAGGCTAAAGATTGCTCCTGCCAAGACTGAAAAAAATGAAACGGAAATATCTCTCTAAAGAGGCATCATAAAATCCCACTGTAGGGCTCCTGGCTGGTCTTGATCAAGGATGCATAGCGGACAAGTCCAGAGATGTCTCCTCTGCAAACCAAGCTGGAAGCTGAAGCTAAAAGGAAGCTGTCTGCTGCCTCCAACACTGTTAGTGATAACAGGGTTTGGTTTGCTCCCAACCAAGCCCAGTGTCCCAGGACAACCCCAGTCCACTGGTTTAAAAAAAAAAAAATTCACCAGTGAGAGCTGCAGATGTGAGCCTCAACACAGGCAAGCGACTCCCCCAGAAGCCTGGCCACCATGCCATGTCACTGAGCCCTCCCTGGGACCAGAGGACCCCCTGAACCATCCTGGCCTGCTGTGTCAGTGTATGCTACACCCCAAGCCCTGAGCTATGCCACAGCTACAGGGTGACTGGTGCAGAAGACAGCCCCTTCTGAACCATCTGGGTGTTGCTCTCTTGGATGGGGCTCTCCTGAGCAGTAGTTTGATGTTACTTCAAAGTCTTTATTATGGTGGGTTAAAAAAAAAAAAAGATTTTTAAGTTGACTTCCTAGGAATGTGGTCCCACAAGAAAGAAGCTCACAATGTCCAGTTGATCACTGGCCCTGATCCCAAACTGCCTTGGCTCTGGAGGGCTCTGCATCTTGGAGCAGATGTGGGCTTTGACCAAGACAGAAGAACCTGAGGAGATGGGCTCACCAATGGCGCTCTCTCCTCATACCAGTTGGTGACACCACACCAGCCCTGTCCTCCAATGACATCATTGCTTGGCCAGGCCTCATCCAGACCTCATGCTTTGCAATTGCAAAAAAAACGAATTATCCCAACCCTCATGGATGTTTTGCTTAGTCATCACCATTAGCATCCCAGTCTGACCTGCATGTCCTGCCTCCATTTTCCAAGCCTTGCATCACCTGCTCTCCTATCCTGACTGTGTCACTGGTGTCCCCCATCCTGGGGAATGATCCCCACAGGCAGGGCAGGGGTGGGGCAGGAGAAGAGGGCTCTGCCCTCCCAACCTACCCTCTCTGCTGATGCTGAGGAACCTCTTGGCAAAATGAATAAAACAAAACCAAGAAAACTGGGTCCCACAAGACTTCTAACTAGAAAGGCTTTTTGCCAAGTAGAAGAAGAAACTAATACTGAGTCAGTCATTTTCACTCCCTGGTCCAAATTTTTGTCTCCAGAGACATCAGCGACACCCTCCCCCCCCCTCTGGGTCTGTGTATAAACCCCTCACAAACGCCCATGGGAAGGCCAGTGTGAGAGTGGGCGCCCACAACCCTCAGTAGTCCTTGTCACCGTAGTCATTGTAAAGGACACTCAGTGTCTGCTCCTCGCACGTCTTCTTGAGGTCCCGGCTGAGCTCCGACCAGTCGAGCCCATAGGGCTTGATCTCGCTGTAGCGGCAGGCGAGGTACTTGAGGGACGAGCGCTGGAGGCTGATCTTGGGCTCCTGCAGGAGGCCGTTGCACCAGCTGCTGAGGTCCCCCAGCTGCGAGAGGATGAGGCCGGCCTTCCTGCAGCGAGGGCGGGCAGGGGGAGATGCCAGGGAGGAGGGACAGCGATGGTGATGGGTACACCATGAGGGGAGGGTGGGAAGGGCAGGAGTGTATGAGGAGATAAAAGCAAAGACAGTTAAGGACGCCGTGAGAGCTGCTGAAGGGAGAAGAGGTAACACAAGAGCTGGGCAGTGTGGAAAGCAGCTGAGCAGAGCCTGACACTGCCAGGATGAGGAAAGACGGGGGGACACCGCAGCCCCATGGCAGCACTGCAAGCCTATGAGAGCACGAGAACAGCCCCTACCTCAGTCAGAGGTGTCCATGCCAATGCAGTGGGGCTGGACATGCTGCACGGGTCTGGGAACTCACCTTACGCTTCTCTGCCCCTTCTCCCCTTCTTCTTCCACCCTGTACTGTCCCCATAACAAGGCCAGGTTTGCTGAGGGTATAGTGAGAGGACAGTCACAGGTGTAGCTGTGAAACACTCCTTGGAACAGACACCATCAATAATTCAAATAACACCACCAGTTGCTGCCACAGCTACTGGACCTCAGCTATAACCAGGTGGGAAAGTGGAAGCCAGTAGCACTGCAAGCAGTGGGGAGAATGTTAACAAGGTGTTGGGCATGACATGTGTGGCCAGGCCGGGGCAGCATCACCACCTGTGTCCTCTCCATGAAGTGCATGTGTTGCATGTTTGGGAACCATGCTAGTCACAGGCAGCCCGGTGTAGGACACCTCCAGTGCTGTGTCAGGAAGAGCAGGGAAAAGGTGGGCATGCTGGGAGCATTGCTCCCTTGCCATCATGTGGCTGAAAGGAATGTGATGGAAAAGAAATGCCCAGTATTGGCAGTCAGTGTGCCAGGACATCATTGAGCGTCAAAGATTTAGGGGAAAAAATCCAAAACATTCAAAATATCATGCTTGGCTTGTGGGCGTCTGTATGGAAAGCTGAAGGTGAGATAAAAATTAGGATCCTCCTAAGATGCAATATTGCAAGATGAACGACTCTTCTGGTACATGACTTGTAGCATTCAGTAATAGTTTAGGAAACATGTCTCCCAAGGACAATGTGCAAACTAGGAGGAGCATACTGCACTATACAACATGTTTGATCCGCAAAGCTCCGGCAGAGCAGGGGTTGTGGTGGAGCTCCTCAGTTCTTCACATGAGCATTTTGCATCTTCTGGTTGCAGGGAGCAAAACAAGGAAAGGCAGGTCGCAGCAGCAGTGCTTCAAGAGCCACCACCCAGCCAAGCAAGCCAGAGAGAAGGTCAGGTGACAGAAGGAGAAAAGGTCCAAGCAGAATCCATCTTCAGCAGAAGACAGACATGCAGTGCTCCCAGAGCAACATAGCCTTGGTGTGGGCTTGCAGCGAAAAATGCTAAATGACCAACCCCTCACGTTGGATGAGATATTCAAAGAGCACAGAGGATCTTGGCCAAATATGATCTAAATTGTGTTCTCTTCTTTTCACATTTTAAATCTTAAAATTGTGCTGCTAATGCTTCTATCATGAAAAAGAGTCTGTTAAGTTAAAACACGTGATGTTAATTTTAAACTTGTCTAGCACTTTGGGTGATCTCCAGGGAATCTGGCAAATGTGGAGGTAATGGATTCAAAGGAAGTATCTTGAAGGTATCACACGTGGCTAGAAACCCAGACAAAAGTTTAAGTGTCTCAAGAGGGGGGACAGGTTTCCTAACCAGCTTCAAGGTCAGCTGGTGGGTTAGTATAGACACAGAAGAGAAGATACATCCCCATGGTATCCTTAACTCAGCATTTGCTCAGCACAGAACAGGCAGTGGAGGCACAAATCATGATGCTGGGGAGGGTGGGGGGAACCTCTTTCCCACATTATTTCTTGGATAGGAAGGTGCTGTGTGTGGAGCACATGGCTGTGTTGTGGCTGGTTTGACAGTGTATTAACCATGAAGGAACATCCACAGCTCCTTCACACCTTCCTCCAGGCCAGGTGCACCACAGGAGAGATGCTTAGAGAGCAATTAATTTACCTCAGGCCCAGTCAGAGTCAACCTTGACTTTCGTGGAGGGGAAGACACTCAAGAGGTCCATCACAAAGGCGGCTTTAGCTCAAGAGGCCAGTCCGGAGACACTGAGAGGCTTTCCAGCTCTGCAGCTATGTGACATCTGCAGCCCCAGGGTTCACATTCTGAGAGTTGGCTGGTTCACATCTTCACACCACAGCAGCGAGGTGACGGTGCTTAACATGGTGCTGACTCTGGAGATAGCCACCCAAGCTTTGCTAGGTCTTTCAGCTGTGAGAAGGTAGATGACCTCTCCCTTGTCACGGTCTCCACATCTAGGCATAGTTCTACAGTAACTGCCTCTCTTTCTCCAGCATCACAGGTACCATAACAGGAGTGTTGAATATGATCTCACAGAATTTTGTCTCAAAGCCCACAGACACCACCAGACTTCACTAGGCTTTTCATCCTATCCTACTTTCACTTATTACTTGCTAGAAAATGACTTACATTTCCCTCCATTTCACAGAATCATGGGGGTTGGAAGGTGGTGGTTGACCTCTATGGTTCATCTAGTCCAACCCTCCTGCTAAAGCAGGGTCATCTACAGCAGGTTGCCCAGGATCTCATCCAGGCACATTTTGAACCTCTCCAGAGAAGGAGACTCCACAACCACTCTGGGCAGCCTGTTCCAGGGCTCTGGCACCACACAGGAAAGAATTTTTTTCTCCTGGTCAGATGGAACTTCCTGTGTTTGTCCCCATTACACCTTGTCCTATCATTGGGCACCACTGAAAAGAGTCTGGTCCCATCTTCTTGACACTTGCCCTTTAGCTATTGATAAGCATTGATAAGATCCCCTCTCAGTCTTCTCCAGGCCAAAGAGCTACAGGTCTATCAGTCTTTCCTTGTCACAGAGGTGCTTCTGTCCTCTCATCATCTTCATAGCCTCTGCTGGAATTTCTCCAGTAGTTCCTTGACTCTCTTGAACTGGAGAGCCCAGAACTGGACACAATACTCCAGATGTAGCTTCATTAGGGCAGAGTGGAGGGGGAGGAGAACCTCCCTTGACCTACTAGCCACACTGTTCTTCACGCACCCCAGGGTACCTTTGGCTTTCTTGGCCATGAGATCACATTTCTGGCTCATGGTGAACTTGTCCACCAGGACTCCCAGGTAATTCTCCATACACATGCCTTCTGGCAGGTTAGCCCCTCACCTGTACTGGTGCATGAGGTTATTCCTCCCCAGATGCAAGACTCTACACTTGCCCTTATTTCTTCTCCTCACTCAAAGGCCAGGGCTTTCTGCAGCTTTTCTTGGGTTGATACTCGTTTCTGTAACCCCAGACAAGGTACCTGTCTGCACACACCCCAGCTTCCTTTGGTCCAGCAGCCAGCACCACCTAGAAGGGAGGTGAGAATGCCCCAAGCCAGCAGAGCCAGGAAAGGCGGTATGGCCTCGTGGAGGAGGAGGGACATGGCAGAGTCAGTCACATGGGTCCACATCCAGGACTTCAAAGGAGCATCAGCAACAGTCAAACAAACACTGTGTCTGCTGGCTAAATAATATCATCTGCAAGTGATTTGTCCTGTCACCACCATTCTGGATGCTTCGCCCTCGCAGACGATCAAACAGGAGGTCTGCTTTCCAAGATTTGTCATCACCAGAACCCATTGCAGCTGCCTAAATGTCTCTTTCCAAGTAGTGTGAGCTGCAAACACTTCATCAGCAACTTGCGTCATCCCATCCTAAGCGCTCCAGCACTTCCAGAGGGTGGAATTAACCCTCTGGCTCATAGAGTCACGTAGCAAACTGCAACATTTGGACAATTCAGTGGCATTTTGGTACGCTCCATGCCAATGCACCTTTGCCTTGTGGTCCTCAAGGAGGCAGCTTCCAGCCCATGTTCTGGCTGGTCCTTGGTCTCCTCACTGAGGCAGCAAGCAGTGACGGCAAAGCTCAGCCTCAGCAATGGCAGCGGCTGTGTGATGACTCCAGTCTGTCACGTAAGCAATTTTATGTACTCTCCATGAAAACCATCACAACAGATGTCAGAAGTCTGTGCAAACCAGGGCTGGAAACGGAGACAGAGAGGCATCACTGCGGCTGGGCTGAAGGCAAAGGTGAGATTTAAGTCCAAGCCTGCTGATTCCACCCAGTGTCATGGGCACGAGGCAAGCCTGGGCAGAGTTGTTGATGGGAACCTCAGCTTTAATAGACTCCACACACTGGGATGTTGCTACTGAGCTTTGAGGTTCTGCCTCAAACAGCTCACAGTTCTTAAAGCGTAAGTGGGGAAAGGAGAGAGAGGAGAGTCCCCTGCTCTGTCCCAGGGAGCATGGGAGCTCTTGGAGGTTTCCCATCAAAGCTGAAATAGAAGACGTGCCTAAGAGGTACTAAATGCAAGACAGCCACCAGCTTTTTGCTGAGTCTTTCCAACTGCCTAGCAGTGGTTTGGAGGAAAGGCTAGAAATCCACAAGTGATCAGCTGGAGAAACAGGGCTGGAAGACAGCTAGTGGTGAGACCAGCATGAGGAGGTGTGGGACAGGAGTAAGGTGGAGACTGTATTTCATAGCTGCCCTTCATGTTGCTAACGTAAATTTGAAGTAAGCTTGATTTCCAGATGGGGTCAAAGCTCTGGTTCTTTGGAGGCCAAACGCTATGAAACACCACCACAGCCCACACAAAGTCCCAGCCCAGCCAGCTAAACTGACTGGAAATACCCACGTTATTGGGAAAACACGCAGACAAAAGCAGATGTTGAAGGACATGGAATCAAGGGAACATCTGGCTGCTTCCGCAAGACCAGGGCACAAGGCACCCTATCCCCAGGCAGCTGGACAGGCTGCAGTGATCTGGAGAAGCCCAGGGAGAGGACACAATACTCACTCAGGCATGAAGGGTCAGTCTCAGCCAGGAAGACCTCAGGGCAATCTCCTTCAAAGCCTGCTGTGGCAGCTCAGCACTGCCTGGGCACCAAAACCACTCATTTCCCTGAGATCACCCCACACGACCACAGACATGTATCAAAAGGGAGGGATCACATGTGCAATTAAGACAATCCACAGCCTGCTTTGGACCACGTGACAATGAGTTCAACACACAGAGATGCATTCAACCCAAGCCAAAGCCCAGGAAAAGGTAGAAAGCCAAGTCTGACCTTGCCATGGCCCAGCATATGTATGTGTGTTTACACGCCCTTCATCCAGCAGCTTCTACAACCAGGCTCTTTTGTGGCACCCTCTTCAGCAGGTCTGAAGGTATAACCACCTCCTTGCACCTTTTTCCCTCCATCAAAGCTTGGGGTCCTTCTCTAAGGGAATTCCAAAGGAATTCCTCCAAGAGCATTATTTTTCCAAGACCTTCTGCCTTTTTGCTGGTGACAGCAGCTACTGAGGGAGAAAGAGAATCCCATCCCCTTCCCACCCTTCATGGCATGAATGGACTAGGCAACTCCAGAGACAGTACAGAGCTGGTAGGATGGAGAAGGATGGTAGGTTCGCAATGGTCTATTGCCTTCTATCTTGTCCTGTGTTTATGGTGCTTTAGGAGAGATGGCTGGACCCCAAACATATGCACAGCATCCAGCAGAAAAGGAACCCCACTGTGAGTCTGTCATCGAGCAAATTCATGAGATTTGCCAGAGAGCCACCCTCCTGGTGACCAACAGCTGTGAAGGATAAGCCTGTTGGTGGGCACACCCGCCTGCTGAGCCAACCCAGCTCCCAAGCCTACCTGGGCCCCAGCTCATCTTCACAGCGCCACGTGAACTCCCCAAAGCTCTCATAGTGCTGGTTGTAGTGGTAAAGGACTCGGTGCAGGCTGGGGGAACCCAGGTCCAGCAGAGTGTTGTAGGCTGTTTGCTGCTCCTTGCCACTGGTGTAGCCGTTGAAGAGGTTGTAGATCTTGTCTGCTATTTCTGGGCAGAAGGACAGGGGGTATTCAGTGGGGTGCAGGGAAAGGCATGAACAAAGCCCACCAGGCTAAAGCTCAGCTCTGGTGAAATCAAGACCAGAGACAAGACTTTCCCCCCAAGTTACGATTTATGTTCTATCAAGACAAAGTCCCTATGGAGGAGCAACAGAGTAGATGGCATTCCACAGACTCAGTCCAGGTTAGGTTCCCATAGTTTCATCCAATTAGGAAAAGAAATGGGTGGTGTCATTGGGTACTGTAAGTGAAACACCATTTATTTATAAGAAGGCACATGATTGGGGATTCTTGAGCACAGCCATCACCTACACTACCAGTTGTTTTCTGGTCAGGACAGACAAATCTCCTTGACTGTTTTGATATGCCCCAAACACCTTTCCCTCCAGGCACCCTCTCACCCCTCCACCAGCACAGAGCCTCCGTGTTTGTCTGCAGAGAGGATGTGTGCCTCCTGCTCCATGCCAACCCTCATCACCACGTGGCAGTGGTCCACCTGGACCGCCACTAGTGAAGATGTCACAGCCAGGACACAAGACATTTGTGGGGACATCGAAGTGGAAACTCCCTGTTACTGGTCCCAAGCGTCCCAGTCCAGCGGCAACTTCCATCTCACCTTGAGCTTTCACATCATCCACCACAGGACAAGGGGTCTTGACCGTCACGTCACTGGACCTGGAGCGTCTTCCTGTGTTATCGACTCCCCAGAGCGTGAACCTGGCCGAGAAGGAAAAAGGTGAAGCTCTGGACTCCCAAGACCTCATGCAACACAGGCGGCATCAGGCAGAAGCGCCAGAGTCAGGGTGATGGTGCTGCCATGGGCATGGCACCATGAGAGATGACTCACGGGGAGATGACTCACATGTAAGTGGTGTCAGGCTCCAGGCAGCGAATGATGAGGGAGATGGTGGAGGAGAGTCTGTCAGGCACTTGGGCTGGCATGGCGCAGGGTGACTTGGCGCCGGAGATGATGTCATCCACAAAGCTCAGCACCGTCTCTAGGGGGAGAGGGGAGGACCAGCCATGGGTGATGACACAAGTGTCCCTGAGGTGGCAGAGAGCTTCTGGGGTCTGTGCCTGCTATGACACAGCCTGGTGCCAAAGGGGACCAAGGCTCATGCATGAGGTTGGTGCAGAGCTGGCCCCATTACTTTTCCAGCAGGGCTCTTCACCATGGCTTGGAGCTGTCACTTCTGCAGTATGGTGGACAGTAGAGAGGCTGCTTTCTCTTTCCCAGGATACTGGCTGAGTTGCAGCACCCCCTTGCAAAGAGGGAGACAGAGGTCCTCCTCCAGCATCCCCATCCCACCCCCTCCAGAGAGAACCAGTGGGGTCCCCACTCACCTGTCTCCACCTTGGAGTGGTCCGTTCTGTCAGTGACCTTCTCTTGACGGAGGAGGTAGTCGACGATCTGCACCCCGATGGGGGGCTCTGAGTGGCCCCACTCCAGCACTACCAGTGTGCTGCTGGGCTCATGAATGGTGGAGAGCCGCAGGCTGGGGGGCAATGCCAGCTGGTCAGCATCTCAGGAGGGCAAGATCTGCCAGCCATCCTCACCACCCACCTATGCTCACCCGTATCTATCACTGCCTTGCTGCTCCTCTGTGCCTCAAGAAAGCAATAAAACCACCAGGCTGAGGCACACACTATGGGAAAGATGCTGAGGACAACCTCTTCAGTCAGCCCCATGGCTGCTGCAAAAGGCAGCATGAGGTTTTTTGTTGGTGCCACTCACTCTGTTGTGTGTTGGAGTGTGGTCTGCACCAGAAATGAGCTGGTTTCTGTAAGGTACTCCATAGGTAGCATTACTCTCTCACAGCAGAAGGGCTTCAAAGCCATTAGCCTATGGGAGAGATTCACCCTTTCCTACCCCTCCTGCTCTGGGCATGTTGGTCCAAAGATCTCATTCCCTGGGCTTTCTCTACCAGAGTGGGTCCAAAACCATCTCCTCAGTCCTCAGCCAAATTTAGAAAAGACACTGCATGTCTACACCCTCTGTCTGATTTCCAAGTCCCATATCTGCTTGCAAATCTATCCCGTAACGCCATCCCAGCCCCACCACCTCCTGCCACCACACCACTGGCCATCGCCACCTGCTCCCAGACACATCACAGCAAGAGGTCAGACTGGGCAGGTGTGGAGACCTACACGGGGTGCGGGAGAGGGGCGCAGGTGGGCAGCCCATCAGCCCCAAAGGCGCTCGAGTCACAGCGGCACCAGTCCTCGATGACGTCCCCGCTGCCCGAGCACCACAGCGAGCTCATGGTGGCCTCCTGCAAGAGCTGGAGAGAGGGAAAGGAGTGAGCACCGGGCAGGTGAGCTCCCAGCCCACCACCGCTCGAGTCAGCGCTGGTCCGTCCACCACTGGGTTCAGCACGTGACTCTGCCAGTGGCTCCTCACCCGCTGGGTCTGGTTGTTGGTGACGAGCTCGTAGATGGGGGCCGCTTTGGTGACCTCCAGCAGGATGGGCTCGGGCGGCAGGTCGGGGCTGGAGGCGGCGTGGCAGAGCGGGCAGGAGGAAGGGCAGCGCCCCCGGCTCTGGCATTCCATCCGCACGCCCGCGGCCACGCGCTTGCTGCCCGACTCGGAGAGGCTGGCGATGTACTCGGGGAAGGTCAGCACCTTGGGGTCCCGCTCCCGCTCCTCTGACTCATCCGAGGGGGAGTTGCCTGGGCAAGGGGGAAAAGAGGGGCACCGGGGTGTGCTCCGAGGCATTAACAAGGCAGTGCGAGGGGGCCGGAGTGCCACCTCCCACCCACGAGAGAGGCAGCGCTGCCCAGAAAGCCCCCGCTACCCTGAAAGAGCTCCCAGTTTGCTCCGGAGGGATGAGATGCTCACTGCTCTTCAGAGGAGGAATCGAGACGGAAAAGTCCACCTTGGCATCTGCTAGCCCCGGCCCTTCCATTTCCCCACGCCCCAGTTTCCCCAGCCCTTCGCCCGGCACTGGGACAGACCACCCTTGCAGCAGGTCCCCACGAGAGGGAGCCTCCTTCATGTGGCTGGAAACTCACGAAGGACCTGCCTGGGCCAACCTGACGCCCTGCCAAAGCCCCCAGCCAAAACACCTCGCTGCAAAAGCCTTTCTGGCCCAACTGCTGATTTTTTCTCTTGACTTCCTCAGTTTCTAAGGATCTCAATCGAAGCTGATGGGACAGAGCATGCTGAAGACCAGAGAGGATGAGTGTCAGGCCAGGATGCACAGGAACGATGCTGACTGGACTTCCCCACAAAAATGTCTTCAGCCTGCAGCACCAAAGAGATCAGAATGAGCAGTGAAGACTTGCCAGTGCCTTACGATGGCCAGAAATCTCTCAAGATGGCTACAAAGCCACCAAGTCCCCCACCAGCCCCTCCACTCCTCCTGCACTCTGTCCCCACACAGGGGAAGGTTGATCATAGAATCATAGAATCCTTTAGGTTGGTAGAGACCTTTAAGATCAAGTCCAACCATTGAGCCATTCGGGCTCTAAAGTCCTCTGACAGAACAGATCAGAACCTGTCAGGGTTGTAAGGGACCACAAGGATCACCCAGTTCCAACCCCTCTGCCTGAGCAGGGACACCTCACACTAGATCAGGCTGCCCAGAGCCTCATCCAGCCTGGCCTTAAAGACACCCAGGGATGGGGAGCAGTTCCCTCTCAGGAGCTGGCTAAAGCCTGGCTCCTCTTGTCTCTTCACACTGTCATGGGGCATGATAAGGCGGTAAAAGTTGCAGCTAGGTAAGGAAATAGGGTCTGTCCCCATGGGCTTAGCTTACAAAGCACCATCATGGAACAAAACAAAGCGGTGAGATGGTTCTTTGGGACCACAGGCCCTCAGCTGGACTGTAACAAGGCTGAAGGCTCATTTACCCTCTGCCCCATGCACACAGGGGAATATCTGCAAGTCCTACCCTGACAACCCTCAGGTCACCCTGCAACCCAGCTGACTTCAAAAAAAGATCTGCAGCAGGAAAATATCACCATGGGCTACACTTTTCCCAGTTCTGCACAAAGGTGCCTGACACTGGGTGCCTCTCTGTCCCCACCACACAGGGCAGTGAGCAAGACCCCGAACTTGGTGGCCTTTTCCCCAGCACATCCATAGCAGGAAGTATTTTGACACAAGGGGAAAAGTCCTGGCAGAGCAGTCAAGAAGGTAGGATCTGCCCATCGGTGCTGTGCCCTGGCGAGCATCACCCTGCCACTGCAAGCCTTGCTGTGCAGGGAAATGGTGCTTTTCACCTGAAAGCCCTACCAAAGGATGTCCCTGGCTCCGCACCAAAGAAAGCGAGGCCCAGAGGGACCACTGATAGAATCACAAAAACAGAATAATTCAGGTTGGAAAAGACCTTTAAGATGATTGAGTCAAAATGTTAACCCAGCACTGCCAGGGCACCACTAAACCATGTCCCTCACATGAACAGCACATCTACACAGCTTTCAGGCCCTCCAGGGATGAGGACTCAGCCACTGCCCTGTGCAGCCTATCCCAGGGCTTAACAACCCTTTCAGGGAAGAGATTTTCCTAATATCCAACCTAAACATCCCCTGGCACAACTTGAGGCTGTTTCCTCTCATTCTATCACTTACTTCTTGGGAGAAGAGACCAACCTCCACCTTGCTCCAGCCTCCTGTCAGAGAGTTGTCAATAGCAAGAAGGTCTCCCCTGAGCCTCCTTTTCTCCAGGCTAAGAAAAAACAGATCCCTCAGCTACTCCTCACAAAACTCATTCTTCAGACTCTTCACCAGCTTTGTTGCCCTGCTTTGGACACTCTCCCGCACCTCAATGTCCTTCTTGGAGTGAGAGGCCCAAACCTGAACCCAGAATTGAAAGCCCAGCCTCACCGGTGCTGAGTCCAGAGAGACAATCCCTGCCCTAGTCCTGCTGGCCACACTAGTGCTGATACAAGCCAGGATGCTGTTCGCCTTCTTGGCCAACTGGGCACATGCTGGCTCATTAGCTATTGACCAAAACTTCAAAGTCCTTGTCCTCAGGGCAGTTTCCAGCCACTCTTCCCCCAGCCTGGAGCATTGCAGGGGGTTGTTGTGACCCAAGTGCAGGACCTGACACCTGGCCTTGTTGAACCTCATCCCACTGGCTTCATCCCACTGCTCCAGCCTGTTCAGATACCTGTTTAGAGCCTCACAACCATCAAGGAGATCAACATTTCTGCCCAACTCAGTGTTGTCTGAAAAGTTCCTGAGCCCTGGGGGCATTACTTGTGACCAGCTACCAACTGGCTTTAACTCCATTCCCCCACCACAATGATGACAGTTAAGCCAGGTCAGTGGGGTTGGGGGAAGCTGAAGGGTGCCCAGGCAAAGCCTCGTCCCAGGGGCAGGCTCAGGGCATTGCTGGCAGTGGCTTGGAAGGGGTTGGCTGCTGCAGGGAGTCACCCAAGAGCACGTCCACAGCTCAATAGGAAGATCTTCCTATTGCAATGGTTTGCTGAGAATGGGCCTATCCTCGAGACTCCCGCAAAGAAAACAAGGCTGTTAAATAAAACCCAGGATCCAAGAGCATTGCTCCGCTCCCCCAGCGAGCTGGAAATGGATCGCTTTGGGCTGGCTGTGAATGCAGCTTAGCAGGCGCTGAGGAGAAGCAGAGGAGCCAGGGAATGATTTGTCTCTTGCAATTTCTCAATCGATATCCAGCTCCTGACGTTTGCAAACAAAGAGCAAAGGAGGGAAAGTGGCAGGTGCCAGAGTGAAACCGAAATGTGATATTGTGGGTGGAAAGAGACTGCCAGACCTGAAAAGCCTCCAAGCAGGAAAATCAAAGAGCAGGAAATTGCAGGAGAAAAGAAAGCACTTGCAATCAAAAGATGCTACATCTGGAGGCAGCTCACAGCAGAACAGCAATAGGGCTGTACTCTCGCAGGTGGGCTTGGGAAGAAGTTCAGGCTGCAGGAGGTCTGAGCCACAGCATCCAGACTCGGGCTCAGAAAGCAGTCTTTCCCACATGAGAGCCCTGGAGAGAAAACAAATGTCTCCACAGCCAGGGCACAGCAAGAGCAGCACCACAGGCTGGTGCCAATACTGGGAGTTACAAAGCTTTGTGATGGAAGTGTTGCAGTGGTCGTGGGGCCTGCGAGCTCCAAGGCCAAACTGCCTGCACCCAGGAGCTCCTGGGCAGGGGACAGCGAGCCAAGGCCACCTTAAAAGCATCAGCTCCTCTCAGCATCCTCCGTGTCCAGGCTTGGGAGCTGGCTCTTGCTTGCTGCCCAAGCCTGGGTGGGGCCACCCAACTTCCCCAGCACAGGCAGCAAAATGCCTGCAGGCAGCTTTGCAAGGGCCAGCACAGGAGATCATAGAATCAGAATGGTTTGGGTTGGAAAAGACCTTTCAAGGTCATCTTGTCCAACCCCTCTACACTGAGCAGGGACATCTGCAAATAGAGCAGGTTGCTCAGAGCCTCATCCAACCTCACCTGCAATGTTTCCAGGGATGGGGGATCTACCACCTCTCTGGGAAACCTAGGCCACTGTCTCACTACCCTCAGCATAAAATATGTTTTCCTACTTTCAAGTCTAAATCATCCCTCTTCTAGTTTAAAACCATGGTCCCTTGTCCTATCACAACAGGCCCTGCTAAAGAGACTGTCGCCATCTTTCCTATAGCTCCCCTTTAAGTACTGAAAGGCCAAAGAAAGGTCTCCCCAGGGCCTTCTCTTCTCCAGGCTGAATAACCCCAACTCTCTCAGCTTGTCCTCATAGCAGAGGAGTTTCAGCCCTCTGATCATTTTTGTGGCTTTCTATTGAACTTCTTCACCCAGGCACGTGTTACTACCTTCCAACAGGTCCCTGTCTCTCCTGTGTTGAGGACTCCAGAGCTGGACCCAGCACTGCAGGTGGGGTCCCACCAGAGCAGAGGAGCAGAATCACCTCCCTTGACCTCCCTCAACCTGCTGTCCATGCTGCTTTTCTTTTGATGCAGACCAGGACGCAACTGACTTCTGGTCAGCAAGTGCACTTTACTAGGTCATGCCCAGCTTTTCATCCACGAGCAACCCCAAGTCCTTCTCCACAGGGCTGCTCTCAATCCCTTCGTCCCCCAGCCTGTATTGACATGGATGCTGTGGTGGTGGTGACAGCTGGCAGCAGGCTGGCACTGGGCTGCCTCTGCTTTTGGAGAGCTCGTGTCCAGCCCAGCCATCGCCTGCCTGCAAAAGCCCTTCCATGGGGGATCCACCCCACCTTGCTGCAGTGAGCTCTGGAGGGGGTGCGGCAGCGTGATGCCCTCTGCACCACGGTGAGCCACCCAGCTCACAGCTGCCTTCCAGACACTGAAAGCGCAGCACTGACAGCCCAGGAGGGGGAAACACACGAGAAGGAGAAAAGTCTGGCCGCAGGATGCAAGTGGAAGAGAGCAGATATGGGGGAGACAAAAGGAGGGAAGGAACAGGATTAAAGACAAATAACAGTTAAGTCCAGAATCAGGCAGGACGGCTTCGTGGGATTAGTGCATTCGTCTTTCATCTCCCTGGGGATGTGAGTATTTATCTTCCTTGCTGGCCCAGACTAACACTTGCTGCAGTCCACGGGAGTCCTCCAGCCAGCTTCAAAGGGTGTGAGAGCAGGCTGTAAATAGGAGGATGAGATGGGACACAGCCCTGACACAGGCTGGGCACTTTCCCTGCTATGCCAAAAGAAAACCCAGTTTCCTGCTCTCATGAGGTGGCCATGGGGACACTTCCAGGGGACAAGCAGGGTTCTTACCTTTGCTAATGTCCTCGTACTCCAGCCAGAGCTGTCGCTGGACCTGCCTGTTGGGATACCAGATGGAGCAGGACTCCTCGAAGCCATACACTGCCTCCTGTATGTAGTGGTTGCCAAACTGGTCCAGCAGTGCCACAAAATCTCCACGGGAGGTGGCCCCATCCAGAGAGTGAAGTGCATTGCTGAAGGCTGGGGAGGAGACGGGAAGAGACGCTCTGATCCTAGAGGACCCCAAGTGCCACCTCCCTACACACTTGCAATGGGCAACCAACCTCTGAACCTATCACCTGCCAGAAGAAAGCTGTGTGTTCTCTCACCATCCCTTTTTCCCTTCTTCCCCCCAGCCCTCCAGGCTTACACTGGGAGATGGTCAGCTGGTTGAGACGGACGTGGTACATCACGGACTGCACCTTCCAGTGCTGCAAGAGGGGGTACCCAGACACCTCGCTGAAGTTCACCATTCCTGCCAGAGAAAGGACACGGGGCTCAGCGCCACTGCCCAGAGAAGCTTCGCCGTGGGGGTGGCTGCAGCCCCTCATGCCATGCCTGAGTGGGACCTGGGGCTTCTCCCTCTTCAGGCAGAGACTTCCTGTTCTCCAGTCATTTAACTGTGCATTACAAGAACCAGAAATTCATGGGGAACAGTGTTGGGCAGACACTTTGTCCTACCCAAGCCACAAGCCAAGACACATAGCAGCTCAGTTTCTATGAGCAGAGGGGCAGAGAGGCCACTGAGCTGAGACAAAGCCCCAGAAAGTCACAGAATCACAGAACGGTGCGGGTTGGAAGTGACCTCTGAAGATCACCTAGTCCAACCCCTCTGCTAAAGCAGGGTCACCCAGAGCAGGTTGCCCAGGATCACATCCAGGCACATTGTGAATCTCTCCCGAGAAGAAGACTCCACAACCTCCCTTGGCAGCCTGGTCCAGGGCTCTGGCACCCTCACAGGAGAGAATTTTTTTCCTCCTGTTCAGGTGGAACTTCCTGTGTTCCAGTTTGTCCCCATTGACCCTTGTCCTAACGATGAGTGCTACTGAAAATAGTGCAACCCCATCCTCTTGACTCCTAGCCTTTAGATATTGATCAGCATTGAGCAGATCCCCACTCAGTCTGTTCTTCTCCAGGCTAAACAGCCGCAGGTCTCTCAGCCTTTCCTCGTTCAAAAGACATTCCAGTCCTCTCATCATAATCATGGCCTCCACTTGGCTCTCTCCAGTGGAATTCAATTGAAGCGTGGTCATGGCTCTGATTTTGGTGACCAGAGCATTCCTTGGTGTGCCACAGCAGGGTGCTGGGACACAGCCACCTCCTCCCTTGCAGCTCCACCACCATACAGCCAGCACAGCACACCTCTGCTCAGCAACCTCTGCTGCTGAACAGCCAGCCAGCAGGAGCTCAGGAGGGTAGCAGCGGGCATCCCCCCTGCTCCACAACATGAAATGAAGGTGGAGGATCAGGATGAGATCCTTTGCCTTCCAGTGCCTCTCCCTTCGGTGCTGCCTGCTGCCAACAGCTTCAAAGCCTTTGCTCTTCCCTGCACAGTGTTTATGCAAAACCAGCCCTTCCTTACTCAGCAGCTCTGCCTCTCGTGTATTCACAGCAATATCCAGACCTGCTTATTGACAAGCAGAGAAGATTTCACTTCTTCTCCTTTATTTTTCCTTTGCCTTAACCAACCACGAAGACCCAGCAGAGCAGTGGAAAATAAACAGGATGACTTACTGGCTTCTGTCTCCCTGCTATAATTGCCAGTGGAGTCCTGGTCCCAGCGACCCTGCCACGATGTTGATGCCCTGCTGCCTTCCTTACGTCCATGTAACCATGCCAAGGGCAGCAGAGCCCCATCAGGAGGCAGGTATCCTCCAGCACCTCCAGGCAATGCTGAGCACTCCCATGGCTGCAGTGGTGACCCACCAACACAGCTCTCTTGGGGTAACAGAGAACTCCCTGCCTGCATCCGCTTACACACACACCTACATTGCCAGGCATCCCACTAGGGCAACCAGCACTCGTTGGACCATGGGTGCAGCCCACGAGTGCTACCCAAAACCCATATGGGAGCTCTATCAAACAAAGCGAATGCACAAGGTCTCATATGAGAGCATCCTGCAGACACTTTCCAAAACACCTTACTACTCGCATCCCTCATTTAGTAACTACCCAGTGTCCTTGGCCATTTCAGCCAACAGCAACAAGCACCAAGGAAACAAAGGCTATTTAGGGGTGCTGGCAACTTGGTGGAAGAAAGGTAAATCCTTAAAGGTTGTCTAGGCTGATGCTTATGGCCCACAATGCTCTGGCAGGACAGTGTGGTTTGGTTGCAACAGGTTTTAAACGCATTTGGAAGCCAAATGAAAGGTATTCAGGAAATTTTTTCCCTTCAATAAAACCCCATAAAATCCTTTTTTTTGCAAATATCTCAAATATCCTATGGATGTCTGACTTATTATTTCATAGAATTAATTTACAGCCCCTCCCTCTCCTGCATTTTTGATGCCTTGCTCTTACTGCTGCTGCTGCAGGTAGATATGGAATGCTGAAGCCAGACTAGACATCTCCTGTGGCAGCTATAGCCCCTGGGAGGGGTAGGTACCGAAGCCAGGCATGCCAGCACCTGCCCCACTGGGAGAAACTTGGGTCCAGCTGGACTCACTCACCAGTGAGGAACTCGGGGTCGGGCATGGGGTCGGAGAGCTCCTCTTGGCACTGGTTCTCCAAGGGTACTGTGGCCACCACCAGCCCGTCTGGCAGCTGCTGCTCCAGGCCCCGGGCAAAGTTGTTCTGTCTGAAAGATAATTGCAGAGAGGAGGGCAGGGCTGGAGGACAGGGAACTGCTTGGGCTCAACCCCATCAGCTGGTGACCCATGCCAAAGCTGACCCAACCAAGCCTTTTGGGCGTGGGCTACAAAGTTGTCTATTCTTGATGGAAAGCTTCAGATGAACCGTCCTTGCCAGCCTCTCCACACCCTGTAAATCTTGGACCAGGCAGTCTGCCAATGTCCAGCCCCAGACTGCTTCCCATACCTTCTTCTTGGCATGGCCTGACCCTGCCAGGGTCACCTCCCCATGTCCCCTGCTCACCTGAAAGTCCCTTTGAGCACTTGCCCTGCTGCCACCTCCTTGGAGTGGTTGTTGTAGCCATAGAAGAGCTCCCCAAAGAGCGTCTGGTTCATGGGCAGCTCGCGGGGCTCGCCACAGTCCCCCACCTCGGGGCATGACTCCGAGATGAGCTGGCACGACCGCCCATCCGTGCCCAGCTTGTAGTCCTCGATGCACCTGGGAAACCAGCACAGGGTCCACCATCAGCTGCAGCCCCCACTGGTGGGGATGAGGGCCACCAGGACACCCCAGCAGGAACATCAGGAATGAAGAGACCTCCCTCCCATGTCACCCAGTCCTATGAGCTCAGGGTAGCAGCAGCAAGACACAGCAGCGCCTCAGGGGTGTCCAGGCAGTGGTGGGGAGCTCACCCACAGAACATGAGGATGTTGTAGAGCAGGGGCTCCTCAGGCAGGGGGACCATCTGCTGCAGGCACAGCTGCTCACAGCCCCCGTTGAAGCCATCTGAGCAGTCCACACCAACATGACGGTCGTAGCAGCCCGTGCCGTCCTTCATGGGGCTCAGTCCTGTCGGGCACTGGTGGGGAGGATACAAGAGGTGAAGCCCCCTGGGACGAAACCTGTCCCCAGGGGTGAAATAGAAGGAAGAGCTCCAGCACTGCTCTGCACGGGCAACTGCAGCTGGAGTGATGCTCAGGGGCTGTGGGACAGACAGTGGCAACGTTGTGCACAGCTGCAGATACTCCTCCTCCCCCCTCTGCCCCTTGGGTGGTAACCCCCAAGCCACCCTCCACCCAGGTAATATACTGGTATCAACCCCGCTTACTGGCACTCAGCTCTGGTGACCACCAAAGCAATGCTGCCCATTCCAAACCCACCAGGCTCACAGCCTCCTCACCCCAATGTCTAGCTCTGGTGGCAAGACACCCCAGCCCTACAAGCCCCTTCATTCTGGGGCACTCACTTTCCCTGCACAGCAAAGCAGCTGCAGGAGTGACGGGGGACATGTGTGGGTGGTGTGGCACCTCCTGGAGAGCCAGCAAGCAGATGGGCTCTCACTCCCTCGTGCGAGTGTGCAGCAAGGGCAGGGACGGAGGAGATGCCAGTCCCAAAACTTCTCTTCCCGCTGCAAACCCAACCCCAAAATAGCCATCCTGAGGTGATGGGCAGGGAGGAAGAGTGCAGCCTTTCCCCCTCTGACCTCCCCCTCCTTGCTCCCGCCAGAGGAGGTGCAGGTGCCCGGGGAAGACGCACCACACAGCCCGTGGAGTCCAGCTTGCGGTCTGAAATGCAGCGGAAGTTCTTGCTGCAGCCACCATTGTCCCGGGAGCAGTCACGGACGGGGCCGAAGGAGTCAAGGAGGACCTCCAGGCTGTCGAAGGAGGAGGAGGTCATCAGCTCTTCCCTGTGAGGAGGAGGAGGAGTGTCACTGCTCCGCTGAGATGTTGGGAACGTGCGTGACTGCAGCTGGTGCGTGGGTTTTTCTGGAGCTCAGGTTTCCCTTGGGCTGGCAGAGAACTGAACGGCAGCCAAGCTTTTCGAGGGATGCAGGAGCTACTGAGATGAAGAGAGTTACCTCCAAAGGCTCAGCTTTGCAGGCACTAAAGAGGGGCAGGGTAATGGACATACTAATCTCCACCTGAAAAATGTGGGGTAGGGTTCCAACTCTCATCAGCCCCCACGTGCCTTGGGTTGGTCCTCTGGCTCCAGGGACACACCATCGGTTTCTTTGTTGAAATGCCTCCTAAACGCCCTTGCTCTGCCATTGCACCTACCTGACCTCCACCGCGTCCTCCATCACTGTCATGTCGGTCTTGCACTTGGCCGAGGGGTTGATGGCCAGCTCGGCTGGTGGGATGACAAAGCTCTTGCTCAGCGGAAGCCACATGCCTTCCCCCAGCGTGTAGGTGAACCTGCCAGGGAGAACAGCGAAGGCTGGCATGGAGGGACATGCTGAGCCTGGAGGGCTGCCTCTACCCAAAACCAAGCCCTTGAACCTCCTCCCTGCCCTGCAGGGATGCCACCACAAGCAAAGGCAGAGCGACAGGGTAAAGTGGGGTGACTCCTCCAAATACACCCAAATGACACCCCGAAAACACATGTAATTTAGGTACTAAAAAAAAAAAAAAGGCACTTTCCTTTTCAGTAGAAATCCTCCTTCATTGTCTAAACCCCACTCTCATCATGAATGGAGAGGAGGAAAAGCTTGCTGCTAAGCATCCAGCATCCCATATGGCAGCTGTAGCAGGACCTTCCCAGCCATGCTCACATGTCCCCAGGAGGTGGCACAGGACAGCCATGCTCAGCCCTGCCAGCTGGGGCACCAGCCTGTCTGTGTGCCCTGTGTCATATTTTGGTGCCCCAAAATGTGCTGGCCAGGTTGCCTTTCCCACTTACCGAAAAATCTTGTCAGATGGCTGCTCACCCAGCACCAAGTCAAAGCCACGCTGGAAGATGGTGTATGGCCAAGGCCTGGAAGAGAAACTCAGAACATCACACCGGCATTGTGCTCCTGTGGTCACCCACCACCCAAAACACTTTCCCTGCTTAGCCCCCAGCTCATGGGCAGAGAGGTCCTGCCATGAGATGGCTCAAAGCAAGCCAGGACAAGGGGATAATATAGCCCCACATAGAAGATCTTAATTTTGTGGCTCCTACAACACCATATCCTCACTCCAGACCCCACCTGCCAATGGGTTGGTGGTGTATCATATCCTTTGAGATATAATGCACTCCAGTCTCAAGGGAGCTCGTCAGGTCTGAGGCAGCAGCTTCACCACCTGCCTTATTATCCTTGAGTTTCATAGTTTCAGAAGGGAAGCTGAGGAAGCCTCAGCTCCTATGGGACTCTGCAAAGGGGCCTGGACGAGAAGCTTGGAGCCAAGCAGGAGGCTCAATAGCTGATGTCCCCATCTCCTCCATCCCTGCTGCCCTAGATAGCAGGGGGTGATGTGGAACCATGACTGGGTGATCGGTGCCCTTCAGTGAGACTCAGCCACGACACCTTGGGGCACGCGTCCCCAGCAGCACAGAGACCCAACTGTGGCAGGCTTTGAATCAGGCAACAAGAACCCCGCTCCCAAACCTTACAGCTCCAAACCACCTTTACAAGACAGCTCAGAGCTGGGGAGAGGAAGAGATTTTTCCATCCCATTGCATCGCTGCTGTTAAAATTCAGGGTGAGAGTATCAGGTGCTGCCAAGAAGCCAGGGGATTTTCTCTGGAGGCAGTTACAGCTCTCCTGCCCAAGCCCTTTAATTTCTAATCTGAAGTTATTTCAGCAAGGACAAAAAAAAATAAAATCCACAACAAAAAAAAACCCCAGACCCTGATAGTGGATTAGAGATTGCTGCCGCACTTCCCCGCTGGGACACAGTGCCATTTTCCCGTCCGGTCGCCTGGGAGCGGGAGATTCCGACCACTGAGTCTGTGAGGACGTGGTACCTTCTGTAGGTAAGCCCTGAGATAGTCTCCATACAAGACCTCCAGCTCAACAAGAGGCTGCTAGCCTTCCTCATCTCTGAGGAAGCTCTCCAGGAGCTCAGCACTAACATTTCCACCTCTGCAGCCTTGCTGACTTGTGCCCTCTGCTGCAGAGGACAGGGCACGATCTTCTCCCCCAGGAACACCTCAACTCCTCCATTGCTGCCTTTTGCCCCCTGTGCTTCTGCCATTGTTTCACCCCCTCTTTCCGCTCCTCCTCTGCATGGAAGTGTTTCTCCTGTCCCACTTTCTGTGATCACTGGAAGCACCTCACTGCTCCAGTTTTTGTTGTTCTTGGCAGGTATTTTGATGGCATGGTCTTCAGAGCTCACGAAGGAATGCAGGACTGATGAGAAGCAGCTCTGTGCCCAATCAGGTTGGATTAAATGGGCCAGAAATTACAGCTCTCAGCTCCCTGCAAGCCTTGGCACTCAGGTAAGCATCTGAAACAACAAAACAGGGGATCACCAGGGCAGCTGAGAACCAGCAAACGCCTCACACTCAGTCAACAAGTTCCCGTAGCCAAGGCACCGCCAGTGCATCTCCAGAATGATCTTCAGTCCTCTTTGCTTTTCCAGCTGGACCATCAGCCACACTTTGCTCCAGATCTGGGCTTGACTGGAAGCTCCTGAAATACCTGCTAAGTCCTCCAGATCTGGTGTTGCTGGTGATGCTCGGACTCACCTCAACGGGACCTCAGCCATGCTTGAATTGCAGCCCCAAGGGGAAAAGGCCAGACTGACTTCCAGGTCCTTGCTGGTCCTCGCTCCCTGCAAAGCTCTTCTAGACAAGATGGGTGGGATAAGGAATCAAAGCCTGGTGCCTGTAGGATGCAGCCGTAGTGAGTTAACCTGGAGTGGCTGGTTTGAAGGGAGCTGGCAGGGAGCTTGGAGAGTCTTTGCAGAGGTCACTGCATGGGAACGTAGCTGAAATGCCATTGGAGGAGAAGGTGGTTGGGTGTTACACACTGAAATAGGTGACTTCACGTCTGGTTTGCTCACCCTTTGTACTCCTGAGGGTTTCCAACTAGTGAGTGGCATGAGAACGGCCATGCCAAACTCCATCATGGCACCAAAGCACCAGCTCCAAGTGCGTGCTGGGAGAGCGTGATGTGGATGTGGACAAAGACATCCCTTCACTAGTGGCTCTGAAGTTCAAGCCCAGGCTGAACGGAACAGAAGCTTCCCTGCAGTTCCTGCACCCCTTCTGCAGCCCCAGGACCCACTCCCCATAATGACCAAGGTGGGGACCCGTGAAGACTCTGACATGGGGTGAGCAAAGAGCAGATGTGACACGAGCACTGAGCTGCTGACTTCTGCTAGCAATGCCCATCCTGGCTCCTCCCCTACTTAGCTTTGCTCTGCAACAGCTTTGATCGGGCTTCAGCTGCCGATGCCTCTCCCCTTCCCACATCCCCACCCCCTGCCATCCCTTCCAAGCAGCTCTTTATTAAAAATGCTAATGCCGGCACTTTCTCCCTGGGCTGCCTGTAAATCTGCGAGGAGAATGGGGCGGGAGGAGGAGGCGGATGGGTGGTTTGGTGAAAGGATCTGAAAGAAAGAGGAGCTTTTTATCTGGCTGTCCTTCAAGCTCGCAAAGCCGAGGCACACAGCAGGGGATAGAGAGAGGCAGAGGAGGAAAAAAAAAGATAGAAAAAGAGGTAAAAAAAAAAAGATATAAACTAAAAAAAAAAAAAGCCTTTAAGCAGGAAAAGTGCTGTCCTTGTCACTTCAGCATGTCCCTGGATCCTCTGTGGGGCGGGGAGAGGATGGTGCATGGGGATGGGACAGGAGGAGCAGGTGTTTGGCCAGGGAGGGGGTAACTGTGCAGAAGTAAAGCACTATGGTGAGGGGAGGCGGGGGAGAGGGGCATGGGCTGCTGCACTAATGCAGGACCCACACTGGAAAAAAAAATGCCTGCAAGGCTGCCAAGTGGAGAAAGGGGTAACCTGCCCTCAGTGGGAGGGGTCAGGGTAGCTCCTGCTTTGCCAACGGCTAGAAGAGGATATGAGCGCCCAGCCAGGCGCATTCGCCAAATTGCCTTAAACTGGCCTAAAACCTCCCCATGCCAGGGTGAAGCCCATTATAAGTTGAAAGGGCATATTGAAAAAGATCCTTTAAATGGAGACCACCTTCAATCTCATCAGGGTGTCTGAAAAGGGCACCTAGGCAAGAAGAGCATGTGAGGATGGGAAAAGCACAGGTCATGTCATGATGGATGTAAGGGCCAAGATGAAGAAGTACAAATGCGGGCAGGTAACAGTTTATTAACTAAAGGTAGGAAGAGCTGATTTGGCTTTTGGTCGAGTCATACCACAGAGTAACTGCAGGAATTCGGTTTGATGAGCAAAGATGAGGCAGGGTGGGTTGGATTGCTGAAAACTTCATCCTACCTGGGAAACAGAGTGAGAGCTAAAAAGCAGCTAATGAACAATGCATATCAAAGCAGGAAGACAGGCTGCGAACGCACAAACAGTACCAGTCAGACTTGTTTAAAACAGCTGAAGTGTAGCACAAAAAAAGCAGCTGATTAAATGTATCTGCTACTCACGATCAAGAAGATCTTATTTTTTGAAAAACTGATGAAGATTTAGGGACCAGACGCGTTGGGTACAAGATGTACCAGGGAGACATGGATCTCAGCATGGTACCCACAATACACAGAACACACAAAGCCTTGCTGCCATTGCCAATAAAGTTCAAAGATGAGCTCACCTTCACGAGCAAAATTAGATGCTGCTGAGCAAACCGACAGCGAGTCAACATGTAATCACTGTAAATAAAACCAAACCAATGGCAAACCTATCTAAAACAAGGGATTGAAATGAGTTCTCAAGTAAAAACACCACTCTATGAAAATGAAAGAGATCGTAGCCAGACCACACTGCTCCCAAGTGTGCCAAGGGATTTGGCAGAGCCTCCACATCCCACTTTGCTGACCTCTCCTTTGCTAAGAGCCAGCACAGCTTCTCCAGGGGCTGACTCACTCTGCCTGGTTTGTGCTACCTGTGGCTGCAGCACATCGCTCCAGTACTGGAGAGTTTAAGAGCATATCAGACAAACGATGGTCAGAAATGACTCAGGCACAGCTGATCTCACTTTGGGATGGGGGGAGAGAGAAAAGTATTTGCAGACATCTCTTTCAGGTGAGCCTGTGGGCAACCTTGTTAGGCTAGAGCTGGGAGCGAGCTGAGTGTGACAAAAGACTGCACGGCCCTACAGCAAAACCTCCACCGCAAACCCCATAAATACCAGGTTAAATTTATAAGATATTCAGTTAAATGAGTTCTGACAAGATGATTCTGCTGGACAAAAGAGAGTTCATGACAGACACAACCCTGTGGAGGCCAAGGGTTCACAGGGAACAACTTGGACAGGTAGAAGAGACATCCACCATCACAAGCCCTCCCAGGCAGAGGCGCACCAAACAGCACCTGGACATCAGTGCAGAAAAAGGGGGCACCACGGTGCTTAGTGTGGACATGCTTTCAAGAGCCCCTATAAATGGTGGAAGCTACAAGCAGGGATGGTTGTGTGGTTTCAGCTACTACCATTTTCTGAAACAAAACCATGACAAATTCAAGGAAGGAACACAAACCTATTCTGTCTTCAGACAGCTTGAGAGGAGAGCTCTCAAAGAATGGGAGTGAAAAAGCCTCAACACTGCAGCATTGGAGCTTTCTTGAGAGCCCCAAGAAGGGCAGAAGGACTTTTACAAGACCCACCATGGTCTAGGGTTGTGTTGAACCTTGGGGAAGAAGAGATCTGCTAGGCTTCTCTGCCCCAAACAGAAAAATATGTTGGAAATGCTGCATATAATTTGTCATAGCCACCTTTGCTATATAAGAGATACAAGACATGTAATCTGGCCAGGTATGAACACTGTTGTAGGAGGAAAGGGATAGACTCAAGCATGAACATGGAGAAGGCTCCCATGGAGGCATCAGGATGGAGCTGTGTCAGAAAAGTGGCCCCAAATCCCCTGGAGAA